TATATGGCATAGTGCGTTATATAGGCTGTGAGTTTTGCACCGATGAACTTGTGACCATGGTTTGTACCTATGTATGTATGCATAACACTCCAATGTATGTACAGTCTGCTTTTCTTTTTGCTCTATCTTAGATGAAAAGTTATAAGCGAAAAACATTTGACCTATTTTAGCAAAATTTTTACATTTATATCCCCCAAAAACTCCCTAAATTTTGACCTAGAGCAACCAAATTTGCACAAGGGTGAGAACTCCAAGGGGCCCACCTACCTACCAAATTTGGTGTTTCTAGGTGCCATAGGAGCCAATCGCGAGGGGGGTCGCATCGACCCCCCTCCCCCTGCCAGGCCGTGTTATGAAAAATGCCCTGCCAGGGCGAGGGTTAAAAGTACCGCGCAAAGTGACGGTGGATCCATCAACCCTGACCGAGGAAGGGCCTGCTATAATCTGAAAGTCACCGAACCAAATGACCTGGGGAATGGACGAGGATATCCATTGTTTCGGTGACTAGCAGTCCTTCCTCGGTCAGGCTTGATGGATCCACTGTTACTTTGCGCAGTACTTTTAAGACATACTGTGCAATGACGTAAGCTTTAAAACCTACCACGTGGAGGCTTGAGATCGTAAATAAATAAATATAGATAAATACCTAATAGTATATGGTCAAATAACTAGTCTAGCGGTGACACACTTCCCCTCGCCAGTATTGGTGTTTTGACAGCCGCAAACGTATAAGGGCGGGGGAAGTCCGTTGGACCCCCCTTGCCGTCTCACCCCTGATCGAGCTAGAGCTTCGCGAAAAAACGAGCGTGTTTCCCGTGACAAGAGGAAGCCGATAATACCCAATTTTAAGGTCCTAGGTCATTGGTTGACCTTCCAAGCCAGGTCAATGGCCCAAAAGTCGGGAAAATCGAGACCAGTTAGGTCGTAAAGTGTGGCTGCTACGGGGTTATTCGGGGTTCTGATCACGAATATCATGTTAGTTTTTATCACAGATGATGTCTTCATGCTTTTAGGCCAGGTCGGGTCAGGTCAGTTCAGGTCAACCAGTAGTGGCCGGGTATTCGTAGTAGGTGTCAACCGCCTCTGACAGCTTCGTAACATGTTACGATGGCACCAAAACTACTTCGTAAATGCTCATATGATTGCTAAATTCGAATTAAGCTAAAAAAAAAAACTAGCCTAGAAACATGTAAAAGTTAACCGAGCTCATTTAAGGTCAGTGACCTGTCCTGAGCTTCAAGTGAACTTGACACCCACCCTAACGCATAGGAGCAATATCTATCACATGTTTGAACCCTTGAAACCACGAAAAGAGTGCAAACGCGCGGCTAAGAGGAGACGACATACGCCGAATCGCGATTCCGGCCAAACATGGTCTCGAAAAGTAGGTCACAGGTCAAAGGTCATTTGCGTCAGGGTCATGAAATTGTTAGGGTAGGTGTAAAATTGATGAACGCGAGGGTAATGAAAGTTCCGTCGCGATCAGCGGGTTTTTACACGAGTTATTTGCGAAAACCGAGAGGGGGCTGTTCGACCCCCCCCCCTACACCGGCGAGGGCTAGGGGGGAGGGGCGTTTCTCACGGTTCTTCCTACCTAAGATCATTGTTAAGATCTGAAATGAGAAATCATAAAACATGGCTCACAGCAGGGCTGAAGCGTGAAATACGCAAGCATGGCTACTCAAGCTTGATCAGCTCAACGATTAAAAAAAAAAACAGTTCAGGCTCTCCGCCGATGATGACAGCCTGGTCGGGTAGTTCGCTCCGCGACAGGGTCCGTCTGCTTTGTGCGGCGCGGCACGGCGCGGCGGGGGGGGGGGGGGGAGGCGGCGATGCGTCTGAAAGGCGACGCTCGGACGTCCCGGGAATCACCTGTCACCATGCGGCGCGGCGGTCGGTCCCTCCGACCCTTCCCATTGTTACCTGACTGCGGGTGCCGGTTCCCCCCGGAAGGGTCACTTTGGTATGCGAAATCTTCACTCGTTAATCGGACAGGAGGGGAGCAGTAGACATTCGATGGAGTAGGCGATTCGGGCGTAGGTCAGCCGGGCGTAGGTCAGCCGGGCGTAGACATTCGATGGAGTAGGCGATTCGGGCGTAGGTCAGCCGGGCGTAGACATTCGATGGAGTAGGCGATTCGGGCGTAGGTCAGCCGGGCGTAGGTCAGCCGGGCGTAGACATTTGATGGAGTAGGCGATTCGGGCGTAGGTTAGCCGGGCGTAGGTCACCCGGGCGTAGACATTCGATGGAGTAGGCGATTCGGGCGTAGGTCAGCCGGGCGTAGGCCACCCGGGCGTAGGTCACCCGGGCCTGAGCCGACCCCGCCGCGAACCGAGCGGACGGTGAGGATTATCGGGGCGGGCGCCGGCCCGGCGCGGTTTCTGCTCGACTGCGGGGACCGCTTCCGTCTACTGCGGCGACATGCTATTATGAGTGCGGCGCGCTGGGCACCTATCGTACTGATCGTTTACAATTGTGATTCCTCCCGTGTTATATAAACAATCGACACCACCCGCAATGGGGGGACCTTTCCGGGCAAAATGAATGGGAAGACGAAAGATAAAGGAGAGAGAGAGAGAGAGAGAGAGAGAGAGAGAGAGAGAGAGAGAGAGAGAGAGAGAGAGAGAGAGAGAGAGAGAGAGAGAGAGAGAGAGAGAAAGAGAAAGAGAGAGAGAGAGAGAGAGGGAAGAGAGAGAGAGAGAGAGAGAGAGAGAGAGAGAGAGAGAGAGAGAGAGAGAGAGAGAGAGAGAGAGAGAGAGAGAGAGAGAGAGAGAGAGAGAGAGAGAGAGAGAGAGAGAGAGAGAGAGAGAGAGAGAATGGTCAAAGAAACGAGGGAAGTGGATGATGTGAGCGTTTTTTGGGAAGGGCTAACTACAGGGAAGGGGAGCCAGACAACCAGACATTCCTGGACGGTCGCCAGACGCACCGACCGACATTTTTGACAAATCCACGGACCGACAATCTAACCCATTTGACAGAAGGACGTGCAGACAATTGGACCGACAAACCGACGGAGTGGCTAGCGAGACAGGTCGACCCTCTCACCGACTGGATGGCGTGCAATCTGACGAGTAAACAGACGAACGGGCTGACAGAGAGACAGACAGACAGGCAGACAGACAGACAGACAGACAGACAGGCCGAAGACTTATCGATCGACTTGACGAGGACCACAGTTGGGAAGGTGGCGGTGTCGATTATTTACACGCATACTTGAATGCACTGTAAAAATGGATCAACTTTAGTGTCCGTTAAATGCTAGATGACTCGAATGATCCTCGGGTTTAATCGGATCATCCAGACCATTCTCAACTAATATAATGCCCTAATAAGACAACTAACCGCATTGATCTCCTTCTTTACAAACAAAGGTCCATGTTCAATCGTTCTTTGACAGCGTAATTAATTGCTTGTCACTGACCTGGCTCGGCCCCGACACGCTCCCGACGCGCGCCCGGCCGGCCGTCCCGCTCCGACTCGCTAATCCGCTGCTCCGCCCGGCCCGTCTGATCCCTTCCCATGCGGCAGACCGCCCCCCGCATTCCTTCCGAGAGCCCAGCTGACCGACACCGTACGGCCGCGGGGTGAGTGATTAATGGCACGCGATTGTTCCTATTCTTTCCTTGGATAATATAACAATCAACAGGACAGCTAATGATCTAAATGTGTAGCGTACTACTGCATTTTGCCGTGTCGTAAGGAATCTGAGCGCAAAGCAACTCTGTAAGTCAATTGAGGTGATATCGAGCTATTTATGAATTATAAGAATAAGTTGGATTGCTTCCCATCAAACGTTCTACTTTACTTTGGAGACCGAACTATAATTACAGCTTAAAGTTACCCATAAGCACGGCTTTTTCACTTACATTACTCCATACGACGAAATGACACGGCAAATACCAAGTATAGCGTGATGGCACGTATAATATTTCAGACTACTTGAAAATAAGGACCTAACACTTAGATGCTGTATAAAAATTATTAGCCGATCAGATAAATCTGAGGTGTGAGCTACCGATTCTAAACCGAAATTAAACTGAGATATCCAAAATGAGGGCCGGTAAATGACGATAATGGACTGACGATATTTCGCAACGAGGTATAGAATTAACTGGAAACCGAACAAAATAAACAGAACAAGAAACATTTTAATGCTGGGAAACTTAGCTACGGAACTACCATCACCAAACTATACGCCATCAGTGATCAGCCGGCCGGCCGGCCGGTTCAGCCGCACCGCTAGCACAGACGCTGATGTGAGACAAATCATTTGCGCCGCCGGCATCCTCGTGATTAGTGGACCCATCGTGACCCACACGATATCCCCCCAGTCTTGTCACCTGCAAAGCCCACTGAAGTGCCCCGGCCCCGCCGTAAACGTGTTTAAACTTCCCGATCGCTCCCCATTTGTGATCTCATTTCCCAACTAACTCTGAAAGAATCGTTCCTCTATCCCCGGTTTATTCACAAAAGCGGAGAGATCAAATTAGCCAAAGACTTTACACCGACCAATTCTAAAAAAAGAAATTGATATCAACTTTAAGATAACAGCGCTAATAACCTATTTCCCCTAAGAGCTAGTGGCACGAATGGCAAACCAAGGTAACAAAGTGCAATCAAACCCGGAAGCCGGACGATAGGCCAGTCAGATAATTAACATGCGCAGGCAGAAAGCATTCTTTCCCCCCCCCCCCCCTCAGAGATTAACCCGGGGAGCACCTCTGATGAGCGAAGCAGAGCCCGACCACGACGCCACGCCACAGTGCCAGGTGTCAGGGCACGCCTCCCCTGTGACTCTGCTAATGACCCCATCGTTTATCCCCACACACCACACTCACATACACCCACAACTATTCTACTGTCCCCTCTAATCAGATCCATCAGTAACCAATAAGGCCGGATTAATCACCTCAGGGAGAGAGAGAGAGAGACCAGGGCGGCAAACAGGGCACATGATAAGGAAAAGATGGGCTGAGCAGACTTGTGCCACCAGTGCTTACCTTTTGGTGCTGGGTGCCAAATCTGATACAATGGCTGGCTGGGTGGCGCTGAGCTGACCGTTGAATGACGAGAGATTGAGACGAGCAGACGAGGCGTGGTACCGGCGCAGACTGCGAATGTAACCGGCGAGCAGGTCTTGGCTCCCGTGCAGTGACTTACTTGTTTACTGGCGTCAGCCCTCTGGGTCGTCGAGCCGGCGGCGGGAAGCTGGCCATGACCGAAGAGATAGAGATGAGGGCAGGCGCCAGACGGCGCCGACCCGTCCACCTCTTGCGTCACCACCGACTGGACTGTCCTCCACTGTCTCTGTCCGTCCTTCTCGTGAGTCCTCCTCTCTCTTTTCTGCCCTTTTTCTGTCCCTCTCGCCGCCTCCTCGGGCCATCTTCTGAATCCTCAACTTCGCTCCGCCCCTCTTCTTCCGATATTGGTTGTATTCCTTGCCAAAAAGGTTCATGTTTCCATCAGTTTGACCCTGGATTTGAGCTCTGAATCGTCCAACTTTTGCAGCGTGCCCTCCGGCGGGCCGTAGTCATGGTGATATTTTGTCTTCGATGGTGCTCCTCCTATTTCGAATTTCCCTTGCTCTGATAGGTGGGAACTCATAAGCTCCCACCCCTTCCCACGAAAATGTAACCTCAGGGCCAGCTGCCATGGTGTCGTGGCTCCGCCCACATTTCCATCTTCCATTCGAGCCTCAGACGCACTCCTGATGCCGGTCGCTGAGGATGGGGAGAGGCGGAGCGGCGGTCCAGCTGCATATGGGTCACCGTATAATGGTGCTCCATGTCCCGGAATTCGGCGAAGTCCTTGATCAATTCCGAGCTGCCTGAAATAGCAATATTTTTCTTCCCTTACCTCCCCCTTTCCCCCGATGTCCGCCCTGCCAGACGTGCCCTCCACGCCGATGGTGATGGCAGGCTGACGCCGGCCGTCTGGTGGGGGGGGGGGGGGGAGGTGTGGGAGCCGAGAGATGACCCATTTCGCACGGCGGCCGGTGCCGAAAACAGCTGCGCCCTGCTTGCCCGGTGAAGGTTCCTGGTGTTATGCTCCTGCCACTGCGTGCCTTCCAGGTGATCGCGTGTTTTTGAATGGCACGCGTGTCCGGGTCAACTGAAGCCGACGCCGGCCGTCTGGTGGGGTGCGGGTAGGGGGCCGAAAGATGACCTCTGTCCCATGGCGAGCGTCGTCAAAGCAGGTCTCCCTTCTTTCAGTGATGGCCCGGCGGATCAATTGAACGTAGCGCTGTCGTGTGCTACCCTTTCAGAATGTTGTTCTGTTGAGTCCGGTCGGAATTTTCTCATGATCGTCGGACGGTCATCGGTGGAATTGCCAGTTATTTTTGGATGTCAGCTGCCGTGAGCGAGCCGGGCCTGGACAGATGCTGATCCTCTGTGCACTGTGTGCGCGTCGTGCGGCGCACGCAGGTGGCTGGGGTCGGCCGCCGGACGACTGATGATCCTGTTTATGAAAAGGGTCAGGCGCCAGACGGCATGGCCGGCCGCTCACGCTTCGGAGATTAGAGTGGGAGCAGTGGCCCGCTCCCCTTCCATGGCCTAAATAGTTGTGTCTTTGCAGCTGCCCTCCTTTGCGCCTGGCCCCGTCCCCGGCTGAAATTGTTGGTCGGAGAGGAGCCGTCCTCGCTGCTAGTGTATATCTTGGTTTGGCCATCTTTGGGTTGATGTGCCGCGGCCGGAAGCCGGTGCCTGCTTGGAAAATGAACGCTTCAGCGTTACACTTCGTCCAACCTTATGTTTTAGGGCCTTGACTCAGACGTATAAATAGTTACATCCGTTCTACCACGGGGCAAGGCCGGCTGAATGCCGCCATGCTGTGCGCGACACACAGGCAGCGCGTGGATGAACTGAGCGTCGACTTGATCGCAACTGAGTTCTTTGGTGCAAACGATCGGCGCCGGTCGTTCTTCGGACGCTAAGGCACAGGGCACAGACCAAGACTAGTAGAACGTAGGGTTAGGCTGAGGCAGATCATCTTTGGTGACAGCTCACCGCCTGAGAGTTAGCAGACATGTGATGGGGGCTGCCACATCGCACAGACGACGACCGTAGAGTTGTGGCAGCGTCAGCACCTCGCTGATCATCCTTGTGAAGTGAGTAGTGGTGATCAACTTCCAGTTCTGTTACCGCCCCAGTCAAAGATGTGTGGTACAGGTCTCGCGGGTTTTAGCGGTAGGTGGCTCGGCGAGCGGGAGGGCAACCAGTTCCGCCTCTGTATCGGTGACCATTTGCTCCGCCCAGTTACTCGCGAGTGCGTACTACGGCACATAGTAAAGTGGGGAGGGGAGGGTTAGAGTGGCAGCCTGCGTTGAGGCTAGAACCGGTTTCTATCGTCTGGGCCGGCGACACGGCATGCGGTCAGGGGACGGGGAAAGGTCAGAGGTCACTCACAATGTGCAGTACCGCGTCCCGTCCTCTCTGCGTGCTGACCAGCGCACGACCTCGGCCGTTGGCCAATCGGCATTGAACGGTCAAGGCCACCAGTAGCCAGTGGGCGGGGTGATCCGGCAGCGTGCCGATCCATAGTCGTCCAAAGTTTTAGCCGCTTACCATGGAGGTTGGGAGACGACTGTAATGCTATTGCCTATTTCATGGGAACAGTTCTGTCATTTAAACGTGATCTGCTGAGGCTGGAGGTCGTTTCACACCTCCAGCTGCTTGTTTTCTGATGCACTGTATTTCCAAAACTTTGTCACAAAATTGACCAAGAAATATGTTGCATGAATGAAATTACATCACTTTCAAAAGGAAACTAGGCGTAAAAGTTTGAGTCAGCACATCACCGTTATCTGTTGTTTTTTTTTTCGTTATTTTTAGAATAAAATCAATGTGAGCCGCTATAAAAGCAAAAAATAAAATGGTATGTATAGGAATATTCCATAACTCGCACTCATATCGGTGTTTTCGCAGGCGCTAACGTATGGACGGGGTGGATCAGACCTCACAGTTGATCGGCATCTGATCAAACTAGAGCTTCTTGAAAAGAAGGAACAAGTTGCACATGAGGACAGGAAGCCGATGATACCCAATTTTTAGATGATACGTCAATCGTTACCCATAGGTCATACGTTGACCTTCCAATTCAGGTTAATGACCCAAAAGTCGGAAGGATCGAGACCTGCCTAGAAGTTTTTGTTGTGAGCTTTAATGGTGCTTTCGGTATAAGAGAGAGAGAGAGAGAGAGAGAGAGAGAGAGAGAGAGAGAGAGAGAGAGAGAGAGAGAGAGAGAGAGAGAGAGGGCTATCACATATATTCCGTTTTTTCGAAAATCGAAAACTTTTTGGATTTTTTGGCAATTATATTCAAAGAAATATTGTTTTGATTGGGGGGGGGGTGCAACGTTCACAAATCAAAATTCCGAAATAGCAGTTTTGTAGCCCTGCTAGTTCTACACCTTTTATGTTTTAAACGTTTTTCTGTATCTTCAAAGCGATAGGCCTGACAGCTCTTCCCGCGAAACCTTTTTTTTTTGGAAACGGCAGAACATGACGTTACTCTGACGTCATTTGCGGCCAACCTACCATGGCCTTTGGAAAAAAAATTGATCACAATGTGTAAAATTGATGCCCGGGAGGGTATTGAAAGTTTGGTGACGATTGGCGCAGCGGTTCTGGAGACATATCGAAAAGTTTGGAGGGGGGGGCAAAAAATAGCTCCCCCCACCACCAGGGCGCGGGTTGATGTTTATTAGGTAAAACATAATTTATGTTGACCATGGCACGACATTTCCAATCTGTTTTAAACGTAAACCACCATCCCGTTCGTTCTAGCCCCTCCCGTCTGCCCCCCCCCCCCCGCTACCACCACCACCACACCGGCTGAGTTACAAGGCTGAGGCGAGCGCCTCCCCTTCATGTGCGCCAAATAGCGCCGGGCTCTCCTGACCTCTGTCCTCACCGCCCGAGGGCTCGGCCGCTGTCCAAGGACGCCTTGCGCGGCGGGCCGCAGTGACAGCCTCTGCCGAGTCCCGTCTCTATCCACCGTTCACCACGCGCTGGATTCATTCATGCCTCTATGTTTCAGCGTCCTTCTCGTTGGGTGGCACCACTGTAGTCACAGGCGACTGCAGGGAAGCCGCGGTCAGAATGCCCCAAACGGTAGATTTTGATGTTTTCTTTAAATTTCTCCGAAACTAGCCGGCATATGATCAAACCTTTTTCCATGATCATGGTAGGGAGCTATACGAATAAATCAGTTTACGATAGTTTATGAAGGCCAAAGGGACCACCTGGCAACCGCTGTTGTTCAAATCCAGTCATTTGCCCGTGTTATACGCGGAATCCGGCCTCCAAAATAGTGGGTCAAATACGCATATTTTTAGTTTTGGGTCCCATGACGTATCTGGCCCCCCCCCCCCACTCTTGAAAACGTTCCTACGCCTATGGTTTGAGATATTCGCTTCACAAGAGCTGTTCTCATATACCTGCCGCACCCTGTATAGTCAATTTAGCGAAGTTGAGATTGTAGCTCTGGTAGAAGTTGACCAATCCGAAAAAAAACTCAACTCGATGCTCGAAAAACTCACTCGGTTTGAAATACAAAGTAGCTTTCAAAGTGTGCCTTCCGTAGACTGATAAGATATTTCCTGACCTGGCCCACCTTACCTTGCCCTGTAATGCCGTGTACGGATCACCACTGCTCGTGTTAATTAATTCATCCTTCTTTTTAGGTGATGCTGAGGCCACGGCACAGGACGTGCAGAGCTCTATATACATCAGCAGAACTGGTAAACGGAACAGCTGTCTATACTGCATGAAAAAGGTAGCCGTTCTGTGGCGCCATATCAAAGTGGCTCACATCGACGAAAGCGAAGTACAGGAGATCATGCAGTGTACAGATGATAAGGAAAAGGCGAAGAAACTCAAAATGCTTCGCTACCGGGGCAACTACAAAAACAACATGAAAGTCCGCAAACGGGGCCACGGTGAGCTTATCGTGGGCAGGAGGCCGCCTAGTGGATGTTACCGAACAGCAGACTGTACCGTGCCCTCACTGCCTGGTATTCGTGTTGAGGTCCGATCTAAAGCAGCACCGAATCAGGAGCTGTGTCGCTCCTGGCGCGAAGGACGGTGATGTTGGTACAAAAGACTTGGTGTATGACAGTATGCTGATGATGGGGGAGGTGGGGCAGTCGCCTTACGCAGAGTTTGAGTCAGAAGTTTTGGCAAGGATGACGGACGGGGAAGTTAAGGATATAATAACAAGGGATCCTCTGATCATGAAATTTGGAGCTATTCAGCATGAAAAACTGGGAAAAAGAGGGTTCAGCAACATCAGCCAGCGTCTTCGTGCGATCGCATCCTTCCTTCAAGCGTCCAAACATGCCAGCATGCTGGAGTTTATCGCTCCGGAGAATATTGACGAGGCCATACGCTGTGGCAAACTCATGGGCGGACTGGACGACACAAAAAAGAACTCCCACACTGAGTTGCCTGAGTATGCAAAGCCCAGCAAAGCCATGCGGCTTGGCGGAGAGCTCCGCCAGCTCGCCCTCCTCAAGAAAGGCATGTCACTGGAACGCAGAGACGTAAACGCGGCCAAAGATGCCGAAGACTTCCTGGCGCTGGTCGACCTATACTGGAACCCACGCGTCGCTCATGTAGCCTTGAAAACAAGAGATGCGAAAAAGTATGATAAAGTAAATGTACTGCCCCTGACCGACGACCTGAAGAAGTTCACCGAAGAAACGAAGGCTATCCTTCAAGCGAAAGGTGAAAGATAAATCACAACCAGAGAGGATTATGTGGCTGTCACAAGGACCGTCCTTGCTCGACTGCTCGTCTTTAACAAACGTAGGCCGACGGAAGTCTCCAGGGTCTTGTTGGCTTCCTGGGAGCACAAAGATCGCTACAAGACTGAGACCATCACCGAGATCAAAGAAAACATGGGGACACTAGAGCGGCAGCTTTATGACAAGCTAGATGTT